GAATTCAACGCTTCCCTGTTGTTCTGTCAGCTATAATTTTCGATGCAAATTTTATGGCAGGGACACAAAACATAAACCGATACCATCCCAATTTATTTAAGTTAATATTTTTGTCGAAGAACTTCATCAATTTTTGTCATAACATTCAAATCTATCATCGCAAATTTAGATGCCAAGCTCCCATCTACCTGGAATCTAATAAGTAGATTCTGTTTTTACGCAAAAATCTTATTTTTTATAAAAACAGTGTATTTCTGCCAAGAAGTGTTAAAAATTATAATCTTGGTTTTACAAAGATTTTCTTAAAGGTGATGTTTTATGAGGAGAGGTCGTAGAGATATTTCTATGTCATCTGCTTTGAGCAGTGTTAGTATATCGCGCATTATTAATTCATTAAAAGTCATGGAAACGTGAAAATATATAGATTTACATGAAACAAATAGACGAACACATAGGCAGAAATAGGATCAGAATCATTTTTTAGGTATAACAAAACTACTTTTTATCGAGAATTATTAAAACCTGCAGTTTTTTTGATGTATGGCTCAACAATTGAACGGATTCCTGTCGTGGCCGAAAAAACCAATATACCCAACATAATTAAAACGTCGCAAAAACTACGATCTGTAGTTGGAATACAAGAGGACATAGTCATAGACAACAAAGGTACAACAGGACGAACAGAAAGACATATTTAAATCGATTCGGAATATGATTCTGAACAATTTTGTACTATACATACATTAATCCGTAAATTAATCTTTTTGAAAGTGAAGTAAATTTCAGCTCTCTGTCGTGAATCTTGCGATCGTAAGCGTTTCAAAAATAGACCGGCCTGGCGAAAATCGATAAATAAACTAATGTGGAATCTCTTAGTGAACAAAGCTATATGAATTTAATGATTTAGCTGATTTCTATACATATTACCGGAGGATAGGGGATGCATTTGGTCAAAAAGTTTGCAACGCCCAAGCGGAAGCTTTAAAGACCTAAGAGAATAAATATATTCTTGGCCAATTTCAAAGTCGGAACGCACCAAAGCATATCTGTCTGTTCGCCTATTCGTGGGTCCGTCCGTCCAACCGTATAGTATCAGTGATAAGAATTCCGTCATTCGGAAAAATGATGGTATCGCCTACAAATTTACAAAAGAATTTGAAAATGACTTAAACCGGCGAAAGGATACGCCTACAAGTTCCTTTGCTTATCGTGCCATTGATAAAGTACAACTCATATGCTGTATAAATTTCTTATTTTGAAAATAAAAAAAAAAACCAGCCGTTCCCAACGAATATTTACATCCTTAAAAGATTCGGCCACGATCGAATGTAATTTTCTTACTTTTTCAATTTGCTTTCTTAATTCTCATTATAAGGAAGCTTGGCGTACTAAAATAAATTTGAGCTTTCAGACAATGAAAAAGCAAAATTGTAAATCCCCTTTTAGAGACTTAAAATGCTTGTAAAGATATGTCTCCTAAAAAGTGAATCATTTTAGAGCGCAATAAAAAGAAATATAGGATATATAGAAAATAAAGTACCCTTCAATGGTCGTATGAAGACTTTTCAAAGTAGGGCGTTTTGTGGGAAGGAGTAGTGAAAAAGTGATCTGATCCGAACGGTTTTGAATAGCATTCGCTCTTGTGCTAAAAGGCAAGTAAACGGGTAGATAAGTTTGAATCGAATCAGAAAGTGATTCTGAATCGATCGATATAATGAAAGGTCAATCTTAAGAATTTCTGGCTTTTGCATATGTCCACACGAACTTCATGTGTCTTTGTAGCACAGGCGGTGTAGGGTATAATAAAATACTTACGCTTAAAATGTAGCTAAAATATGGTTCAAATGTGTAAAAACATTCACACTGACAGTGTTTAAAGAATTGACCAAAACCTTCCAACAGGAAAAAAACGCTTTTAAAATCTTGGCAAGCATGAAGTTGAACTGAATATATTATTGGAAACGCGGCAAAGAATCAATTTATCAAATTGCGTACACGAGAGAAGGCCACTTAATCCCAATAAGTTGGTGAGCACTGCCGTAACGCATGAGTGTGCAGTTTAGATAACCTATTAAGTAGGTGCTGTCGTTTTAAGGCAACGTCATCTAACATACAGAGCGCGTAAAGTCATGGCAAAGCTGACGATATGTCATGCCATAGCATATTGGTGTAGGACTGTCCGACTAGTTTGACCGTATGTCTGTTTTGTTAGTGGTGTGCCCCTCCACTGACTGACCTATGACTACTAGCTTTTGCTTATTCAATTCTATCTTGAATAAAGCGATAATTGCTCTTAACTAATGTTTTAAAGAAAACTAACAACAACAACAACAACAACAACAACAACAAGTAACAAGTAACAACTAACAACTGCAGAAATTTGATACCAACATTTTTAGTTAAACGTTTTGTTGTAAGTTAACGGTTCAAGCATTCAAGGTTGCCAATTGCGTTTAATTTAAAAGAAAAACGAATACGTGTGAATTATCTTAAGCGCGGTGCAGTTAGTTAAAATATATGACACTTCAAATAATTATTTGAATTGACAGTTTTGCAAGTATGTGCAAGTATGTTGGTTGGCATCGCATAGCACACACACACACACACAACAACAATAATACTTATAGTCAACAACAATAGAATAATTCAAGTCGAAATGATTTAAGTACTTTGTAAACATGAAAAAGAAAAAAAAAAATAAATAAAACAGGAACGTTAACGTTACGTGCTCCAACACACACACACACACACACACACACACAAACACACACCCTCCTCCTCCGTCAACGATTATATTATATTAGAATGAAATAAATAAAAGGAAGGATTTTTTCAATTTATATATATTTATATTGATATTGACGAAACCTTTTTTTGTATTATGTGCACACATATACAGCCGTATAAATTAAATGATTTTCATATTAACAGCCAAGCCCAGCCTTTAGCTGTTTTACTACAAATGGAAATCTCCACTTAACCTAATTAGAAAAAGGAACTAAACACTGACGAAAAAAAAAAAAAGCAGTTATTGTTGTTGTTGGTGTCTAATACGTTCGTTCTGTCTGTCATTCAAGTCGCTATACTTATATGTTTGACAGATTTTTTTTTTTTTTTTTATTTTTGTTTTATAATGTAAAAACAAAGTAAAAGAAAACATAAGTAAAACTAAACTGAACCCTGGCCGGCATGGCTGGGTATGAATTGAAGTTGAAAAGAAAAAGTTGAAAAAAAAAATCCATAACAATCAAACCGAGTAGAAACAATTAGAAGTGGCAACACTTTGACCCACGTGCACGTCTGACTGACTGTGCAGCATAAGCGTTGTACGCTGGCGTATATATAAAAAAAATAAAAATAAAAATAAATAAAAATAAAAAAAAAAAAAAAAATGTGAAAAAGCTTATACTAAACTAAATCTCAAACCAATACGGCACACGCCTGCTTTAATTTAGAAGTTCCACAACGGCTTTGCCTAAGCACGATCGACTAAACTATCACAGTAATACATCTCATCGAGGCTTTATATTTTATTTTATTTATTTATTTTATTTATTTTCATTTTTTATTTTGATTTATTTTTTTTTGCAACGTTTATGTCTGCAATACTAAGCAACGTGGAATAAAAATCGCCGCAGTTATGCATTGCTTAAGGTTTGCTTGCATGTTAACTGCGAATAATAATAACATCGTGGCACTGGTGCCAGTAATGCGACAACTTTAACGGGCCATTCATTTATGTTTTGCTCCTTTTTCTTTTCTGTTTCACTTTTCTTTCTCTATGCATACACATATATACTATATAACTAACTGTTGTGTATTCAAACGAACGTATTTACGTATTTACAATTTTTAAGAAGCTTTTGATAGTCGGTTACATCATAAATCGTGCTGCAAAGGTCTGTTGCGGGTGTCACTATAGCAAACTCTTGCTGCATTGTGGAATTGTGATACAAGGAAAATCATGTTTGAAATATTAACCATTACTTAAGCGATTCGATGTCACTGTTGCTTTTTTTTCCCCCTTTTCTTGAAAGTAAAGACACCGAATATATGTAACACTGTAACGCATTAAGCACCAGTATTGAAATGCTAGGAAGATATGCAGCAATCATTTTGGTCACTTAAATATTTCGCTCTTCGAGTTCGCGTGATAATGCAATAGAAACCAAATTTGATTAGTCCCGACATAGCGTTTGCCAAAAGCCATTTCGAAAGAAGTAATGATGCTTAAGCCACAACAACAGGGTTAGTGGGTACGAAATCATTATAAGACATGGCATTCCAACTTTTAGGTCGCTTTGCTGGCAGGAGCAAACTTTTGTGCATAGATGTATAATTAGCAATTAATGAACTGTACGTAGATCAAATTAAGCTTCACTTTCAGCTCAGGTAACACAATTATTTCATGGAACTAAGATTTATTCTAGTCATCAAAAAACTTTACAAACTTTATCTTAAACCGAAAAGTGGGCAGAAGTACATTAAGGACGACCTCATACTAGTTTTTTCCCCGTCAGTTTATAGAGAAGATCAGCTGGTGAGCAGCGAGTGTAATCGATAAATTCGGGTTATTCGGATTCTCGTTAAGAGTCCGAATGCACACTTACTCGAATGGTTCTTCAAAGAACTTTTAACTATTCCTTCATCGCAGTCACTTTATTGTTGGTGTCATAAGGTGACATGAAAGTCAAGTCTATCATGAATAAATGATAGACAACGACAACTTGCGACATCTATAAAAATTCTGAACCAACTTCAAAAGAAGATCACGAAAATTTATTAGTAATTATTGTCATATGCCAGCTCATTACTAGAAGATAGTAACTTTGATGGCTATGAACTGAGCTATGTTTGTCTCTGAAATTGTGTCTTGTAGACATAAGGCTTTTAAATTTTATTTTGAATCATGATAAAGCCATTCTCCGTTGTTTTTCCAAGTTCTTTTTTGGGGCTCTTTCTTGATCTATCAAAATCAATCGGATGTAAGTTTGTCTTACCTTATTTTATGGTTAATTGGTGTCGTATTGGTGCTGCCGTTAGCTGCCGTTGTTAGACTGGTTATCCTAGGCATTAGAGGAGGTGGAGGTGGTGATATTTCCAAAACATTCGACGAGTTATTGATCCCACTTGGCAGCAACGATCCTATGGTATTCATAACTGCATTTTCTTGAATGGATGGTATGGCGGACAGGGCTAAATTATGCGGACGTTTGCGGATCGATGATGAGAAAATAGTGGAACGTTGCATTTCTGGTGGCGTGTTCGAAAGTTTTTGCTGCTGTAAATGAACTTTAGCGCAATGCAATTGAGTTAAAGTGGTTGTTAGAGGACGTGCTACTTGCAATATTTCAATACTGGCCGGTTTACGTGGTATTAAAGGAGGAACAGTTGAATTATTTTCATTTGAAGTCGATCGTCCGAAGAAGTTAGCCTTACGTAAGGAAGCACCAGCGAAACTATTACGCCTATTAGGCGAGATTGATTTGGGCATTAGTTCGGGTAACGTTTCGTTAAGAGGAGCTTGACGTTGTAAAATTTCTGGTGGCGGAGGTGGCAAGGGCTCATCGGAAAATGTCGAATCACTTTCAAGGGCTGGTGGCGGCGGCAAGTCCGGTGAAGGTACTCGCAAATTAGGATTCTTTGGTGGTCGTTCGGGCGCCCAACCATCTACTAACCCTGATAAAGGTACAATGAAATTATTGTGGTGGTGATGATGGTGGTGATGATGGCTTATAAACGCCTGATGATGCGATGACGTTGTAGTAATACTGTGTTGATGAGGATGTAATTGCTGATGCGCCAGGGCGGCAGCTTGTTGCAATAAAACTTTGTCGCGAATAGCTGCATATTCTGAGGCAGATGATGTGCGTCTCATGGGCATTGAGGTCATACCTCTCGGGGGTGGTGGTGGCGGTGGCATACCACAATCATTAAAAGAGAATTTCTCCGCATTTGTAATGTTCTTAATAGATTGAGATTGTAATTTCTCTTGGGAAGCACTAGTGAATTGGTCACGAAATTCAGCGTAATCGGAGGCTGAAGAGGAACGTCTTAGTAATGTAGGCGCTGCGGTACGCGAACGTGGTGGTGGCGGTGGCGGTTTAATTGCCTCCTGATCACCTCTTGTTGGTCTTTGAGTTGTTACTGCGACGTTTGGTACATAGTTGCTAGGCAAAGAATTTCTAAGGAAAGCTTGGCTCACAATTGACAATTCACTGCTCGGAGATGAATTTTGCAACGAACACGGTCTTGTGGAAGGATGATAGCTTTTCGGCGAAAGGCTTTCGTGCGATGGTTGCGGCGACTGTTGTTGTTGCTGTTGCTGCTGTTGTCTCTCAAAGTACGACTGAACTGCATTTTTCTGTAGAGCTTTTAAAGCTGGATTCGGAACTCGTTGCGTTTTATTAGGATCTAAGTAAGAGTACTTTTGCACTGACTGCTCGTGGTCATTGCTACGTTCAAAGTCGCTTATAAGAGCTGCCACAGATTGCCAACTGGGCTGCGGATAATTTGATGAGCTAAGCTTGGAAGGCTTTGGGGGAGGCTTCTGCAATTCGGTACTGTACTGAGGCTTAGGATGACGTACATATTGCGAGGTATTACTATGTACAGGCTCTGTGTATGTGCTTATAGGGAACAAGCGATGATTACTACGATAGGCGCCGCAAGCAGGTGTCGCCAACTTATTATCGGCCAATGAATCTAAGGAAGCCGATATTGTGGTCCTAGTGTTTGCTTTAGCTAAGGAACTTGTTGAATTGCTAAGCATATGTGATCGCGAAGGTGAAAGGGGAGATGCATTTTTTTTTTCGGTTGTAGTGAGCTTTAAAGGAGGCAAAGGTGGTGGATATGGCGATATTGTAACTACTGCCTCACTGCTTGATATGGTAACTGATATGCTGGACTTGTGCGAGGATAAATCTCTGGTTGTCGTAGTCTGCTCGTCAAGTTTTGTAGCCAAAGACGAACTTTTGCTTTTATGGAGGGAGGAAGAAGAAGAAGAAGCACTAGATTGGCTAAATAGTGTATGAGAGTTATGTATTGGCGGGTAACTGGGACTGTGTTGGTGTTTTGTAATTAAAGTGTTATCCGATAAGCTTTGCTGATGCTGGTGTTCCAAACTCGGACTGCATGGTTGATGATGATAGCTTGTCGTACATAGAGAATTATTGGTGAGCTGCGAGTTATGCGGTTCATCATTAGGAAAAAGTACGCTTTCACTTTGATGCCTTTTTGGAGTTAAGACGCGGGAACTGTGCACTATCAATTGAGACGTAGACACTTTAGAAAAGTAAGAATAATTTTGGTTAATCTCCAATGTATTTCGATGAACTTTATTAACTTACCCGATTCCGAGATAGCTGAAAACCCTGTAGCATGACTAACTTCGGATATGTCGCTCATAGAACCCAACCATTTTAATGTTTCCGTTGAAGAAGTGCTCTCTGATCCATTTTTCTGCTGTTGGTGAGTTTCATTGTGCTCGTCTCTAGTGCAACTAAGAGAAGTCGGCGAGGATGTTACTGAATTCGAAGCCAACGATGATAAATCATTTTGCGACCAATGATGCGTTGGACGGGATAGTAACTCACTTTCTTGTCGCAATCTGTTCAATTGAACAATTTTTACGTTTTATATATATAAAGTGTAAAGTAAAAAATAATTAAAATTTAAAAAAAAAAAGTAAAAAATATTTTTAATTATGCTATAAAATATTAATTGCAAATGACTTGCCTTTTAAATGCGCTACGGAAGTTAATTGAATTGAAGTTTAAAATAAACTTGAGTTAATTTTGAAATCTTAACAACGGAATCATTAAAAATTATTTAAAGAGCGATAGAAAAGCGTTCAAGTCAAGAACGGCCAAATATGCTATGAGAGATACATTCACAAACGACGACGACGACAACGACGACGACGACGACAGGCACTCCCTCTCTTAATAGATATGGTGCCTGGGGAACCTGTTTTTTGATCTCTTTACCTTATAAAAAAAAAATTTCCTTTCCAGCGCTGGTGCGAAATATTGAAAATCTCAGATACGTGTACTCATACTGTAATAGTTTGCTGCTACAATACCATAAGAGTTGTTTTTATTGCTATTATTGTGTGCATAAATTAATATGTAAAACATGTGCTATTTATGACTAGACGAATCAATATGGACTCCGTTGTGTTGTGGGGTTGTTGGGTAAAGTTAGAATGCGGTAACAACTTCTATGAAAACTATAGGTACAGTTAAGAATGTCACCAACATCTCGCTTAGCTATAAAGATGTTTAACTAGTTCCATAATATATTTAATCATACACACACACACACACACACACACACGTATATATATATTTATTTGTATTCGTTATTATATATGTATTGGTCCGCATTATATTATATATTTATTTATATTCATTATCTTATTGAAAGAAAGTTTGTAAAATGCAAGCAAAGAGCTGGAACTAATCACTGACATACAAGCTCAAGCTTACCTATCTAAAAAAGGTGTAGCCGATGTTGAATCCGAACTGGATACGTAGCTGTGATACCCTTCCGATTGGGCGTAGGATGATTGCTTTTGATGATGATACATAACGGGATTATCATAAAATGAATTCGCTCTAATATTATATTCTTCTAGACCAGCCTTCGTTAGACCACACTGATCGGTAATATCGTCCTGAAAATTGAATAAAAAAAATTGCAAATTTTTAATAACATTAAACAATGGTTTAAACATAATATTCAATAAATTTTATTCAAAGCATTGGCCACTATTTTCTTTTTTATCTCTTTGGCAGCATACGAATCTCGGGTCTTCAAAAGAATGAGGGAAATGATTCATCGATTCATCGATAATTTAAGTGATTACAGAAGTTGAGGTCTTAACCTCCCAGCAACTGTAAGCAACTCCCAGATTCTTGTTCCCTGAAGATCATTGGGTTAATTACGGACCTCTTCTTTTAAAGCTCGGCATAATTGCTTTAAAACTGTAAAAAAGTATACTTTTTATCCAGTATATATAAAATTTTTTTTTTGCTACTTGGTCTGAAGATAGTACTTTCACCTGTCAACCGATAGGATCAACCTCTCCGAAAATCCCATAAAGCTTAATTGGAAATGTAATGTAAATCAATTGCTTATTACCTTACGATACCATACTCTCAGTACATAACCTCAAATAACTCTATGAACAACATAGTCTAACAAAAAATAATTTAGTGCAAATTTTTGCTTGTGCTTGTGCTTGTGCGAGATATTTGCTATGATAAACACCAGATCCTATTGTAAAGATAACATTGATAAGTTGTTGGCATATTTCTATGTCGTATAATGCGGTATAGTTAATTAAAAACAAGTAAGAAAGCTACAATCGCCTTTCGGCGAATCTTGAATACCAAGCATTTTAAATAAGTATATAAAAATTTCATTATTTATGTGTTGGTTAGTGTATCAACCGTAAATATTACGTGTTTAAAGAATACAAGCAGAATGAATGGCCTTTCTGTAGTATTTGTGAAAAATTTCGAATATATTGTAAGTTATTTTGTCGCTGTTTCGAAACCCTGATGGATTTTCAAATCAAAATTGATCTCATTTATAGTAATAACCAATAATAAAATAGGATAATAAAGCCCCCAGATACCTTTAGCGTGTATCGCGACGACAAAATCTAGTCAATCGACGTTTATCGCATGAAGAGAAGGAAGGAAAAATGAAAAGGAAATATATGCTGTTTTGTTAATATTCAAAAAGTAGTAAAAGAATTTTACCCTACAAAGGCAATGTCTTTCACAGTCCAAAGTTCCGATTAAAGTTTGCATGTGTAAGTGTAAGATCTTTTTTACATGTGCGACGGTAATTTAGTTTCTTTTTAAAGTGTGAAAAGAATATGTAGCGGAACAGTTGACAGTGCTACTTAGTGCTTATTCTATTCTTATACTTATTCTATTTCTTGCATTCCCTCGAAATTAAACACTTAGTAAGTAGTCGGTGAAAGATTTCCTATCCGATACATTGCCTCTCCAGTCACCATTAGCAGAGTCTTCAAAAGGTTTATACTATTATTGCGTGCCAAGCGCCTTAGGATATGTTTTGTTGCCGTTATCTATTCGGGGTTTCTCTATTCTCTCTATTCTCAAGTTTTGCTGCCGAATATGGTATATCTAGGCGTGTTGTCACTGCCAAATGCACAACAGCACCGATCTATAATTGGTATTTTGTTTTTTTGGTCATATTTCACAATGTTGATAGTAATCTTACATAACCTTACATTCTCGTGTCTTTTCACGCTTCTTCAAATTTAAATGTTTTTTTCTGGTTTGACCTTCTACTTGGTTGTTCGTATAATTTACATTTCTCGAATTCATTCTATATTTTCCTTTTATAAAATGTATGAAAATACGTCCTGTCTTAACTAAATAGCTTACGCCACCAACTGATTTCAATTTTATGGGATCGCAGACAGCTGAATGAATTAACTATAAAATATTATTTGCTCTGCTGTCACTTGATTTAGGAAAAAGTGCTTTATGAATCTTTCCCATTATGCAAGCTGCACATTTTTTATTCGTCCGACCCGTATTCAGTCGCATGCCGTACCTTGGAAGTTAACGTGGTCATAACGTAACTATGTCAACGCATACCATCCTTTTTTGCCACGCATACATGCTGTCCTTTTGTCAACTAAAAATAAATTATTTCTCCTGGCAGCTGTTAGTACAACATAACGGCCACGAACGGCCGTTACAATTCTACAATTTTGTTTACTGAAACGATTTCTTTTTTGGAGTTTGGAGAGGAGACAATATGCCTCATCACTTTTTGCTTAAACGAAGAACTCATCGTTGCCAGTAGTCGTAACGAAGTTGTCACCACCAAGTGAAACTCTCTCTTCAATTGTTTTGTAATTTATAAATAATTATTTATCGGCACCCATATAGCAGACAGCTCCATTGTCCAAATACCATAACTTTTTGTTTAACGCTTCTGTGACTGCGATCATCGTAAACGTACTCGGTTTGTTTTGTCCTTGATCCTTGTTTGACAAATTATATGCAAGATGGCCCCTTTCTCGACGACAGCAGAGACAGATTGAGTATTGCAATATCTTTAAACTCATTAGACGGACGTTTATAAAATGCAACTTTGTGCACCGGACTACTTCGTTTATGTCCTTCACAATGCATCATCTCATCGTATTTCGTTCCCACAATAGTAAATGCCAATGATTTTTCACCGTCATTTTCCTTTCGTTTCGCACTTAACATTGCTCCATTCTTAAGGTCGCCATTTGCGCACTTCCAGAAGTCGGTTTGAAAAAAAGAAGCTTCACATTTAAATGCTCTACGAACCGTAGTTCTTTTCGTTTTGAAAGGATAATGAAGAAAGAGCTTTTTTATACATCGAGAAAAAAATGCACGCATTGACCCATTCAAGTTTACTTTACTCTGAGAGTGACTAAACATATTTATTTAAGTTAACTTAATGAAAAGTACTTAAAGTACTTGCTTAACTTAATGAAAGGTAAACGGTACAAACCCACTTTGTTTGTTTGTTGTTAAACAAAAATGAAGTTTTCAACAGATTGATTGAAGACAAAATGAAATTGAAACATTGGAAATGAAGTATATATATATATATATATATGTGTTTTCACCATACGTCAATATGCATTTTTAATATGTCATTATCCATAGTTATAGGCGCAAAGCATTGAGTATTAAACTGCCGTCGTTTTAGGTAGAATTGGGTTAAGAATGTATGACGAAAATGAAATCCAGGGCAATATCTAAAATCCCTACACTCGTTACCATGACAAAAACGGCTTCAGTTGCTGAACAAAACTTCCTCGGACGGGCGATGCCCAATGTTATTTATTGTTATTTTATCTCTTAAATTTTTTAGTTTTTTTTTTTTTTTTTTGCCTTTTTTATACAATTCATTATTATTTATCGCTGTTAACATGTTCCCTGTCAAGTGCGCCGTTTTCATTATGCGTTAAAACTCCTGAGCACATTGAGCTGAATTTCTTGTAATTCGGATATTAGAGTCTAAAAAAGTTAATCGTTCTTATCGATATTTTATGCAAGGTGACAATGTTTACGATACTGTTTGAGACGTCCACCGAAAACAGCATACACAGCATGCCGTTTACTTCTCCATGAATACTGCTGTGGTTAGCTAGCTTTTTGATGTATAGTTTATATAATTAACAAACAACATTTTTTTTCTTTTGTAAATATGTAAATGAAATAAATAAAAAAAAAAAAAGAAAAATGTTAAATAATAAAATAATAATTAATACATTTTTTTTTTTTGTTATATGACGTATTTTAGATAGAGATATATTCGTAAACGAAAAGTGTATTTATTCAAAACTATTAAATTTGCATTTCGCACCTACTCTACTAAGTAGCTTGACAGGAAAGATCTTACAAAAATAAAGGCTTATCAGGGAGTATCATCCTCACAAAAATGTAAGGGTGTACATCTTGGTAACATGACATCCTCTTCTTCGAAAAGACATTGCTATTATTATTGTTAATCATTACCACTAGATATACCACAACCACTTCGTATATGCCTACTTATGCTGGAATGAGTCGATTTCATCCTGGCACATAAATTCTATGAAAATAAAAGAAAAATTGTAGTCGAAGTATTTCCCAACGTTAGCTACAAATTTTTCCCGTCTATCTGATGATTTGTGGATGCCACGCTATCGAGGCAAACAAGTTATTGAGCCAGTGAAGCCTTGCTCAGCAAGAGCATGCCCCATCAGTGCTAGCAAGCGTTAATCGAAAGGACTTTGATAATTAAAACACATGGGCTAGCACTTCTTTGCTTTCTATCTATCCCAAATTGCTTTTGTCGTATGGATAAATGGGGCGGATATCATGTGCAAAAGTAACCTTGTGCTGTCTTTTCTTGACAATTTCGTAAAAGTTTTTGCACAGCGAAGTATTCAAAACGATTAATTGTTACTGAGAGCGTTTGGCCCACAACCGATTCACAGCTAATAAGAGAATAAAGCCACTTGTTCGACTAGTCACAAAATATCGTTCCCAACTCAAAGCTTGTGTGCAGTCTCACAGTCAATATGCTTGGATCTGCTTATGGATTTCTATGGCTTGGATTACCAAAATAGATCCGTTTTTGACTTCCAGTTAGAATATGGTTCAAGGAAGACTTTCCTTTGTAACGAAATGGAAATGATTGTTATTTATCTACAAATATACTCAAAATAGACAAGAAACTGCGAGAACTTCGAAGATAACTGGACAGTTTTGCTTCAGTTCATCGTATAGGAATTTTTTTTTTTTTTAACTTCTAAATATAACGTTATTCGAGTGTTCATCACGGCTTTTCTTACTAGAATGAACCCGAAAGACGCAATTTGATAGTAGCTTATGTGCTGACCTTTAGTTGCACGTTAAACAAGAACGACTTGACAACGAGCAGCTCATGCGGTGTTTTATTTTTTACTTGAAATTATTTTAATACAAATCTTAATACGTAACAAATCGATTGTTTATTGTGCCGTGTTGTTCAAAACCATATGTTGTCTAGGTCGACGTTCCAATGCGGGTTAAGAAAAAATGCTTTAACGCCAATCCGTAGAACTTGCGGTTACGGGTGATGGATATAAAAAAAGGAACAAAGAACCCTGCTCTGTCA